ATTACGCGGCTATTGGGATGAAATCCAGTCGCTAACTCCCTCATTGGAGTGCACATGTGCCGGCTGCAGCTGTGATGTGAAGAAAAGGCAGCGCGAGGTACATGAGAATGAGAGGCTTTTCGTTTTTTTAATGGGATTGGATGACGTTTTTGCTACTGTGAAATCTCAAATCCTAGCTATGAGGCCCATACCAAGCCTTGGAGAAGCTTATCAGCTTGTCATGAACGACGAGCAGCAGCGGCAAATAGCTCAAAGCCATCGCCCTCGGCCAGAAGCTTCAGCCTTCCAAGCTCAGGGGGAGAGGAGAACTGACCGCTCCGATCGCTCCACCACTCGGTCTGATCGTGATGCGCGTCCTGACCGAGAGCCCGACGACCGCCCACGGTGCTCCCATTGTCGCCGCCGTGGTCACTCAAAGGAAACGTGCTATCAGCTGGTTGGCTATCCCGCGCGCAGCAGCACCAGACAGTCCGAGCAGCCCTCTCGCCCGCGCACTGATCGGGAATCACGCTCGACACCCCAGGCTGCGCAGGTAGACGTGGCCGAGAGCTCTCTTCCGGGCATAACTGCGGCGCAATTTGCCCAGCTGAAGGCTATGCTTGCGTCCGAGTTCCATCATTCCTCGCCGGGTGCCATCGAACCGTCCTCCAACATGGAAGGTATGTTCTCGCCGCAATCTCACATGTCGACAACATGGGTCATAGATTCCGGGTGCAATGAGCACATTGTTAACCATAGTTCTTTGTTGGATGTCGAGTCGGATTCTTGTCCGGCCTTGCAGGTGAAAATTCCTAACGGTACAGGTGTTAAAGTTCACAGTATTGGCTCGACTAAATTGTCGAATGATTTGGTTTTGGATCGTGTGCTTCATGTTCCTGATTTTCAGTGCAACCTCCTCTCTGTTAGTCGGCTTACAGCAGATCTGCCAGTTGCATTGATCTTCTTACGTGACTTCTGTGTAATTCAGGACTTACCTTCCAAGAGGCTGATTGGGATGGGTAAGCACGTAGATGGTCTCTACATTCTCCGGCTGTTTGATGGAGATCATATCATGGCCAACAGTGTCAGGAGTGCTTTAGAGACATCGGAGTTATGGCATGCGCGCCTTGGACATCCTTCATTTGGAAAATTGAGTGTTTTGCAGAACATTGTTGATTGCGTTTTTGTTCAGAATAAGGAACCCTGTCACTCTTGTTTGCGTGCTAAGCAAACTCGGGCTCCTTTTGTTCCCAGTACAATTAAATCCAAAGCATGTTTTGAGTTAATACATGTGGATATATGGGGGAGTTATAAGACGGCTTCTACTTCAGGAGCGCATTATTTTTTAACCGTTGTGGATGACTATAGCCGTGCAGTCTGGGTATTCTTGATGCGATATAAATCTGATGCAGGTCGTCATCTCTTATATTTCTGCAACATGGTTCAAACACAGTTCGGCGGGCAAGTTCGGCGCATACAGGCTGATAATGGTGCTGAATTTTCTACTAACCAGTTGGTCGAGTTTTACGAGAGCAATGGTATTATTCTTCAAACCTCGTGCACGGATACTCCACAGCAGAACGGGGTTGTTGAACGGAAGCATCGCCATTTACTCGACACAGCTCGGGCATTGCGGTTTCATGCTAATCTCCCACTGCGGTTTTGGGGAGAATGTGTCCTCACCGCCGCCTATCTCATAAATCGTCTTCCTCTGGTGCCTATCGGGAACAAATCTCCCTATCACCTACTGTTCAACAAGGAGCCGAGTTATAGTCACTTGAGAAGCTTTGGCTGTTTAGTCTATGCTCGCGATACACATCATGGTTTGCACAAGTTTGGTGATAGGGGACGCATGGGGGTATTTCTCGGTTATCCTATGGCCCAGCGAGGGTACCGAGTATATGACCTTGAGAAGAAGAACGTGTACACCTCACGTGATGTTAAATTCATTGAGCATATATTCCCCTATCGGGATTTTTCTCCTCCTGTATCTCGATCGGGCCTTTTGTCACCAGGACCCTCGCCGCCTGCGGCCATCTATGATGAAGATGCAGCGCCTCTTTTCCCCGCTGCTTATGAGTTGGACGATGCACAGCTCGCCTCTCCTTCGGCCACCCCACAGCCCTCGGCTGCACCGAGTCCCTCGGCCACTTCTGCTCCGCTGGATCCTCCACAGCCCATCTCTCCCTTGGAAATGGGAGATACTTCTCCCTCGGCGGATGATGCCTCTGCCGAACCAGTGCCTGCTGCCCCAGCCGAACCAGTGCCTGCTGCCCAAGGCGAGCTAGTTGTTCCTCCTCCCCCCCGTCGTAGCGATCGGGTGCGCAAGCCTTCTGTCCGGTTAGAGGGATATGATGTGCAACTCCCAAAGGCAGCTCACTCAACAGGTGCTCGCTACCCCTTGGAGGACTACCTTAGCTACCATCGTTTGTCGATGGCTCATCACGCCTTTGTTGCTGCGGTCACCGGGATTCATGAGCCCACTCGGTTTTCTCAGGCAGTCCGCTACGAGTATTGGCGTAAAGCTATGCAGGTGGAGATCACTGCTCTTGAAGAAAACGGGACTTGGTCCCTAGTTTACTTACCGCCTGGCAAGAAGGCTATCGCATGCAAGTGGGTTTACAAGATCAAGTTCCATCCTGATGGGTCCATCGAACGTTTCAAGGCACAGTTGGTTGCCAAGGGTTTTACCCAAATTGAAGGGGTTGACTTTCATGACACTCATGCTCCGGTTGCTAAGCTGGTCACAGTTCGCTCCGTTCTTGCTGTTGCTGTGACGCGTGATTGGCATATCCATCAACTCGATGTCAATAACGCCTTTCTTCACGGCGATTTGGAGGAGGAAGTGTATATGCAAATCCCTCAAGGGTTTGCCAAACCTGGTGATACTCGTGTGTGCAAGTTGCACAAATCTATCTATGGGCTGCGTCAGGCTTCTCGGAATTGGTACCAGAAGTTCACGCAGGCCTTACTTGAGTTCCAGTTTGTTCAGAGCAGGGCTGATCATGCTCTCTTCACTTATCGGCATGGTTCCACCTTTGTTGTTGCTCTCATCTATGTAGATGATGTGATTCTTACTGGTAATGATCTCTCTTTCATTCAGCGTGTCAAGACCTTTCTTCACGATAGGTTCACTATCAAGGACCTTGGGACTCTCAAGTATTTTCTTGGAATTGAGGTTGCCCGCTCTCCCAAAGGTCTGGTTCTCAACCAGCGGAAGTATGTGCTAGAAATTTTGGCCGATGCTGGTCTTGAGGCCGCCCGGCCATGCTCGACCCCCATCGAGCAGCAGCATACTCTCGGTCGCTTGGATTCTCCACCAGCTCGTGATCCTACCGCCTACCGTCGCCTTGTGGGTCGTCTCCTTTACCTCACAGTCACTCGCCCGGATATTACCTATGCCGTGAATATACTCAGTCAGGTCATGCAGTCACCCACCCAGGCTCACGAGGATGCGGCTGTTCGTGCTCTTCGCTACCTCAAAGGCTCTCCTGGCCGTGGACTCTTCTTCTCAGCCACTACACCGCTCACTTTGACAGGCTATTGTGATGCGGATTGGGGTGGTTGTCCTACCACTCGCCGGTCTACTTCTGGATACTTTATCACTCTTGGGAGTTCTCCCATCTCTTGGCGAACTAAGAAGCAAACAGTTGTTGCGCGATCTTCTGCTGAGGCTGAATACCGAGCTATGGCCAGTACTGTTAGTGAGCTTCTTTGGTTGCGTTGGCTGCTCCGTGATTTGGGCGTGCCGTCTTCGAGTCCGACCACCCTGTTTTGTGACAATCAAGCAGCTCTCCACATTGCTGCTAACCCGGTGTTTCATGAACGCACTAAACACGTGGAAATGGATTGTTACTTTGTGCGTGAACGGGTGCAGGCAGGTGACATTTCTCCGGCCAAAATTGCCACCGCCGACCAGCCAGCTGACTTGTTTACGAAGGGGTTGAGTGTTGATCAGTTTCATCATCTCTTCGTCAAGTTTGGACTTCTCGACATTCACTCCTTCGCTTGAGGGGGAGTGTAGTGATTCTTAATTACTCATTTAATTAAGGATCACTTAGTAATTTACCTTTACTCCGCGTTGCATGTGTATAGGAGTTTAGGGTTTGGTTTTTGGGTATAAGACCCTTGTACTCGGCGGCTGTAATCCCTAGAACAGTGAGAATAATAAAACTAATCTCGAGAGCTTCGTGCTCTCTGTGGAATAGTCTCGTTCACATCAAACGGGAAAACCACGTAAATCGCTGTGTTCTATCTCCTTTTCTTTTCCGCAATATCGTTTATTTCACAGACTCACTTAATTAACCTAACTCAAACGACACCGCTTTGAGCAACGGCGGACTCTATTTCAAATATTCAAACTGACTTCTTGACGCCTCTCCAATCCTTGTGCATCTAGGACTTCTTGACAGCAGAGATTCAGTCCAACAGAGCGATGCTCCGGCGCTGGGACAAGGAGAAGGCAGACTGGCCAGCTAGTTTCCACCTTTGGGGTATGGTTTGGAGAAGGAGAGGGGTGGGGTGGGGTGGGGAGGGAAGGACGTAAGGAATGAGAGAAGGAGATTGGTTTCTTTGTCGTGGATAGTAGGTGTTTCAGGGGAGATGATGGGATGAGGACAGAGAGAGAAGAAGAAACTACGACTGATCTTTTCGTTATGGCGATGGCGTGTTTGAGCAGTTGCAGAGAGAGTGGGGACTTTGGAAAAGCATATTGGAATGGTGAAAAGATGGACATGACTAAAACAGTGGCCTATTATTGCTGATTTTGGGTAAAGTTAGTGTCTAGCGTGGGATTGCTGATTTTGGAGTAAGGTGGCGAAGAGAAGGCATGACCGGCTGCTGCGGAGCAGAGAAGTTACGGCTGGGTCGATGCGGGGGACGAAGTGCGTGGGAAGCTCTTTAGGCCATCGCCCACAAAACGTCAAAAAGTGATACAGTGAATAGAGTCTTGGGCCAAAAAGCTACCCAGCTTTCATGTTTTAAAAGAAAACGGTAAACATGGAAGAGGAATGATGACCAATGGGGAATTTTGGAGGGAAGACTGAAAAGCGCGGGAAAATGGCAAGGTTCTAGCTTTATCAATTGAATGGAGAAAAATAGAGAACCCAAGTCGCGGAGCTAGCGGGCAAAGGGAATATAGGTAGGTTGGGAGCCGGGGGAGAAAGGTAAGCGAAAATAAATGGAAGAAGACGGAAATCTGAAGTTGAGAACCACCGGGATCATTAGTCTGAACAAAAATCAAGGGACGAAATCCGGAGTTCCAGACCTCACCGGCGAGGTCCACCAACTGCCCTGCTGCATCAAGTACGACGGCCCTTCCGACGTTTCCGACTACTTCAAACCTAAATCCACCGGTATTGCCCCGCAACCCTCCAGTCATAGATAGCTCTTCGTTTTTCTCTCTTTTTTCACCTTGGAAAATGCATATTTATCGTCATTTCGGGGTTTGCCGAATTAGGGTTAGAAGTTGATGGACTGGCAGAGCAACAGGCGTATTTCAGGGGCAGAAAGCTACATGGCGTAACGATTCCCATTCCACCTGGTTATTCTGGTACCCAAATTTGCCTCTCGTACACATATCTTTCTTTCTTCTGTCGTTGCCCATTTTTGAGAAAAAAGAAAATGGCGGTTTTAGCATTATCAGAAGACAAGGTTTTATTGCAATGTCCGCAGAGATGGGTTATACTGCACCTTCGAGTGGGATTTGAGTTTGTTGCTAACAAGTAAATGGTTCTTTGTTCTGGTCTTGGGTGCTTTGCAGGATTTGTCTTGGGTAAGAAAAGTCTTGGCAAGAGAAAAGCTTCTGATTGCAACTCTAATTGTTGGGAGCCGAGTGCTAAGTTTGAGAATATAACTTACTGGAATCACGACACACTACCTTCACAAGATGATACGTTTGTTCGGTCTCTCCATTGGTTATCTGTTGCAGAAGCTGTAAGTTTTTCTTTCTGCAACATCATGAGCTTTTTTAAGAATAAGATAACATTGGAATGGAGTATCTGTAGTAGTTAAATCAAACCACGAGACTAGTATCCAGCTAAAAAGTAGAATAAGATAAACGTGGAGGTTGGCACAGAAAACCAATGGTCATTTCATTTTGAACTTTGGCTCCCCATCACAGAATGTAGTATTTACGTGTTTGATTGGATTCGGAGCTATCCCTTTCGTGAGTTCTTAAGTTACGTTTCTCGTTTCCTTGTGAAGTAGGGTCAGTATAACATCTGGCTTCAGTATAAACAATTGTAGGTGAAGCTATTATGTGTTTATGCACCTTTTGTCTGTGGTAACTGTTGAGCAGAATAAAGTTGTATTCTGCATGTAGATGGACAGACACGTTTCTTTCCCCTTTTTAGTTTCTTCTTTTATTCCTCCCCTGCCCGTCTCTTTTCCATTTCTGATTTCATATCCATGGGATTTTGTTCTGACTGTAGCTACACAAGCCGGTGACCATAGAAGACTTGGGTTCCACACCCATTCCCAAGGAGTAAAAGCTGTGAGGGTGTGATTAAAAATTTTGGGGGCACCTTTGTTCTCTACTTCTATCTGTATTGCTTGGTAGTTAGTGTGTGATGAACTACACTAATATTTTAGGAATGGTGGATTTGTGATGCAATCATCTTTTCAATGAATGTTTTGATATGAACTTGACTTCTCGTTGCCAGTTGGAAAAATTGTTATTAGATGGATAGAAGAAAGCCCCCAGAAATGCAGAGTCCTTTTTTCCATTCTTGAGCTGTCTTTGTTAGAAGAATCAAAGAAGTGGTGAAGAATATGATTATGCATCCGCGTGAGTGGAATTCCAATCCCAAGTGAAGTAATTGGTAATATTCTCTTGACAGGCAGGATCCTTTTCTAGCCAACCAATTGAAGTTGTAGAACATTTTCATTTGATGTGCGGAAAGTTGAGCGATGTTAAGGCTGTCGCCAATGCAGAAATCAGTCCGCGGCAGAGTGGTTATATCAAGGTGTAGGCAAGGTAGGGAAATAAGCCAAGAGGCTGTGGAAGTTACAACTGTAAATGAGATGAAGTTAGCTGTCACTTTTATGCCTGTTTTGCAGTTTGAGTTCTTGAAAGGAACTTAATGTTGATGCTGTTGAAAGCTTCTAGAGACTTGATGTGGGGATAGTTGGGTTCGCTTATGACAGACTACTCTTAGCCGTCCACTGAATTCAATTTGCAGAATCTGGTGGCCAGTTTGATTTGAAGGCACATAGTTTTTTCCTTACAGAGATCGTAAAATTTGAGTCCATTGTATGGAGGAGGTTTGAGGAACCGTGTGGGGAAGACGGATCAATTCTTTCCTTGATGTTGAAATGCAGCACTGAAAGATAAGTATATTCTTGAACTGCCTTCCCCTATCTCAAGTCAAGAATAACTACGCCTTTTCACATTCAACTTATTATTGAAATTCCATAATTTTGAGCATGGCTTTTGAATCATTCCCTTTCAGCTCCTTGTGCATGGTGCTTGGTTGTAAGCCACTATTTATATCGAGTGGAGACCATTCCCTAGAATATTTTTATAGTTATATATATACACAGAGGCTGGGGAAGGCTGGTTATGTAAAACATCTAATATCACCTCTAGTTCTTCCAGCTTTAGTTGGACAACAATTTCTCTCCTTTCAACATGAACGCAAAACCACATCACGAGGGAGATCCAAATGAAGTGGATTTCACAGAGGTTAGAAATCAGCTTCTCTTCTTTCCCGGTGCTTCTTTGCGTATAGTATTCCTTCATGTTATGCCAAACAAGATCATTTCCTCGGTACACGATTAATATACACATGGTTATGCTTGGAGTTGTCATGTTTCTATGAATGAACTTCAAAACTAACTAGAGGGTTATATATATGGATTTGCAGGCTGCAAGATCATCGTGGTTTAAACCTAGAGCATTCAGCATTGTATGGGGAAAGGATGGTCGCTACTGGAATGTTCCCACGTAAGTTTCATAAATCACAGATTCTCCCACCGCCCTGCATCTTAACTTCACTCGGCGCAACATAGTGATGGTTTTCTATGTATGTTGTCTGATTGCCAGGGATGGTAGGCCAGCTGAGCTGTTGCAGGTGAGTTGGCTTGAAGTAAGCACCATCACCTCATTGAAAGACAGCATACAGGCTGGGAAGAAGTATGCAATTTCCTTCAGACTGCAGATGAAGCAAGGGGCTTTTGGTTGGAATGGCTGCTCCGTTTACTTGATGGGTAAGATAGGGCAGGCGGGGAAGTACACAGCTAAAAAGATAAAGCTGTCAGATCAACCCGAGAATGATAAAGAGTTCGAGACAGAGAAGCTGGAGGTCACTGTTCCAACTGATGCTACTGATATGAAGCTGTACTTTGGGTTGTATGAAGTCTGGACTGGAAGATGGAAGGGTGGCCTGCTAATCCATGGTGCCAGAGTGGAACAAGTTACAGAGTAGGGAGTGAAATCCCCGTTTGGTTTTGTGTGTTGTATTTGCTTACGCTGTTCTTGTGGCCACTTGAAAAATAAAACAGGGAATGGGGAAACCATTTTTATGTTCCTGCTCCATTTTCAACGACGTATTAGCTTGCGAGTTCATCAATGGCGTTAATCTAGAAAATTGACAGACATTTCCATTAAACAAAAAACAGAGAGGGAGAGAGAGAGAATTAGAATTATTCTCCAGACAAACAAAACCATGGTTAGTAACCTTTTAATTGGCCGAAATGTCATCTAGGCGAAATTATCCATAGTTAGCACTTAGCATGATAATTCGAATCACAAGTATACACTATTAATTATTGTCAAAAGTACTATTCTACTCTCCATACAAGGAAATTGGTACACTGATTAACAATAACAACAGAAGCTGCCATCTGAACATGGCACATTTCAGGACTCAAGTTGCACGGGGAGGCACAAAACAAAGCAAACCTTGGCTGGTTTGATATATCTTCAAGCTTCAGGATCAGTCAGATCCCCAGCACTCTCAATTTCACCCATACTGGCCGATACAAATGATTCTGTGGATTCTACGGATGAAAGGGAAGAAGCAGTATCCTCAGAGTCTGAGATGCTATCCCCGTGAGAAATGATGTGTCCATCATCAGCATCCTCGTCAACCTCAGACTCCGACCCAGCGAGGAGCTTGTTGATGGCCGACTTTGCAGTCTCAACAAACCATTCATCCTCTGGCAGGGCACTGTTCTCACAGAAAGTTCAAGCCACAAACTCAGTAATATAAACTCTGAAGGGTAGACAGATTGAAGAGTAGTAGTATTAAGGATATAGAAGGTGATATGCCAGGTGCTTTGGTGATTAGTAGTACCTTTGTGGGTCGATTCCTCTAGCTGAGAAGGTCCTGATTGCTCGAGCAATTATGGCTGAGGCGATTTGGTGCACTTGCCTAGATGGGTAACCAGCGAAGCGTGCAAGTTCCACTGTGAAATGCATATCAAGAAGTAGCTGCAAGCCAGGCCATGTGGAGAAAACATTCAATATTTTGGAACAAATGGCGATTGCTCAGTGCAAGCGTAAACGACTGCATATCACAATTACCTGCTGCAACCCTAATGCTTTGATTGGAACAGCCACATCTTCGAATGTACCCCAAAATTCCTGTTCATCAGAAAGCCACATTACTACTGTTTCAGTGAGCCGAGCAAGCAAGAGTTTCTGTATTTTCTCTTTCCCAAGTAATACATCTCCTGCCACAGTTGCAAACTGCTGCAGCTTTGCAAACAGTGCCTGCAATGGAAGTCCACAGATCTTGTCAGAACAAGATTCCAACAGAAAAAGATAGTGTCCAACATTATACTCCACCTAGGTGAAAGTTAATTTAACTGACTGCACTCATCCCTATCATCCAAAACCGATGGGTTACCTAATACATAAAAAAGGCATGCCTATAACGAGTAAATCCTTATAACATTCAGCAAAGGGTCAACGAAGATAAAACCTGAAATGGCAATGAAGGCAGAGGATCTGAGCTCCAAATTAAATCATCTCTGTCGCCATCGAGGTAGATTTGTGCATTAAGTCGTGTCTTCCCTTCTCTTGAATAGATAAAACTCAGAACATATTGGCGACAGAAATGATCCTTAAGCTTGTCAAATGAGTGCTGCAGTTGTCGCTTCCAGTCCTTCAACTCCCCGGTAATGGCAGAAGCAGAAGGTCCAGCAGCATTGTCATCTTTACATTCCTTCCCTTCTTTATTCAGACTCCACACAGTTTTCACAGAATGAGGTAACAGCTCATCAAGAATAGTGAATGCCATTCCCAACAATGCAAGTTGTTCTGCATCTGTCTCTGCTCTGAATTGTATGACTTCCTTCAGTTCTGTAAGATTGTCATCATCGGAGGGTCCTGGCAGAGATTTAATGAGCACATCCATGTATTTGCCAAATAGCTGTGATATTCTCATTAACACACTTCCTCCAAAATGCATGACAACTGGAGGAGTCAACTGAACAAGTATGTCCTGTAAAAATCATTTTGCTAGAAAATTATATTACATAAATCAGTCAACACTATAGCAGAAGAGTAGATCACATGAACTAGGAACTCATAACTATTGAATACTATCATATGCATGATACAAGCATAAAAATTCCATAGGTAGCAGCATCAGAAGTGAACAAAGCGCGCTCAAAGCAGACATATTGAAAACAAAATGACTTAACAAATCCCATCAATTATGTGCCAAGGGAGGCCACCATCACAAGCAGCAAGAGAACCATTAAAGATCAACAACTTACCACAATTATGTCCATAAATCTTATTCCACTGTCAACAAGCACAATATCTGAGGATGCTACAAAAGCTGATAATGGTGACACAAGGTGAGGCGATAGTTCAGAGCTCTCATCAGGTTCTGTCACATCAAGAATTAGCCTTCTTGCACGTCTAAAGTTCAACTCTAAGACTTCTTCAATGTATGGACGCAAGAGAACTAGAAGAAGCTTTGATAGTTTAAGACCCTGTGGCTCCAACATTGAACAAAATGCAAGACTAGCCTGAATATAGTTACTAGCAGCACCTAAAGCTAAAATTGTATCTGGGGAAGGTGCATTATCCTTCACCAGCCGCACAAACGATTCAATTTCCCACTCAGCCCATTGTACAACTCTGTTAGTATATAAAGGATCATCACCAAATATGAGGATAGATTCTTTTGTAGCCGTTGAGATAGAAGAGAAGACAAGTTTACAAAGTGTCCCGGGGAAGGTCTTGGGGCACACTGAGCATGAAGGTAAGAACACCTCAATGTTCTTGTGGAGGCGTGATCGATATAATTCAAGAAGGATTTGATGAGCGAAAGGACCTTTCCCAAGTTTGATTAAAGCAGCTAACGCTTTCTTCATTTCCACAGTGCTAGCAGATGGATGTTGAACAATCTCAGTTAGCTGTTCCACAAGAGTTGACTTCCTCTTCAGAAATGCCGATTTGTAAGTTGATTCTTCAGTTGGCGAAGTATCTGTCAAGCCCTTCAGTTCTGGAGAACTTTTCTCCTCGGCCATTAAAGCCTCCAATGCTTCTTCCACCTTATGTTCAGCCAAAAGAATATCAACATTCTCCAGGAAAAGCGTCTGAGGATTGTCTGCTTCAGTTCGTAACATGTCTTCAAGTTCATCATCTTGCTGAGAGTCGGCATTGTTGCCATCAATAACATTCCAGTCTTCTATTTCGCGGCAAACACCTGTCATCAAATCTTGCACAAGAATCCCCTGGCCAGAAATATGCTTACGCAGTTCAACCAATTCATGCTCCATCTCCACTACTTCGTCTGACATTCTGAGACACAATAAGAACTTAGATCACATTTTCACGATATAAATTTTTAAATACCATCTCAGCAGGTCAGATTCCACAAACAGTGAAGAAGAAATCAACAATAAGCAGTCCTTTAAGAGACCCAGCTGCATCACATATCTGTATCGGCAATAACGCAAAGTTCTGCTTCCTCATCATCTTCCACAGCTAAATTCAATATATTACCTCAAGAAAGCCAAGTACTTTGTCTGCATATTGCCACACAGATTTTCAACTGCATCCTTCAAATCCAAGAGCTCGCAACAAAGCTTTCGGATACCCTGCAAGGAGTATACATATAGCCAGGTGTTTCAGTACAGAAAACCCAAGTCAACACTGATTTGAAAATGCCCTTCCAAATCCCATCTTCAAACATTTAACACCAACGGAACTCCAATATCTCAGTGACTTGCTATCCAACTACCTCGAATACAGTTTAAAAGACACAGGTCAATGCACCTGCGCCTGCTCGTCTCTTAATGCTCATAAGCACCCAGAAATAGAATTCCTTCTAATTTGAGAGAAAATGGGACCAAGCTTTACTCAACCAAGGTTAGTGAAAGCAGCTTTCCCACAAACAACCTTCACAATGCCGTGGCAAAGGCCGAGATTCTAGCTAGCTCCCAGGAAGAGAGCCCAGACAGCAGAGAACTGAAAGCGAACTCGACAATTGCAGAGAACCCAGATTCGAAGGACAAAAGCAGACCAGAAGTTGAAGCATTGTTTTGGTGCCAGAATTGAAGCATAAAATCTAACTTAAGGAAACAAGTAGAGACCCGGGAACTAGCTGATGAAACGAAGGACGAACCTTTTCAGTGCGGGATTGATAGAGGGAGTCGATCTTGGACTGAGGAGTGATGGTTTCTATGGAAGGGAAATCATCTTCTTCTTCGCTGCTCTCCATTTTCACTTCCTCCCTACTGGCCTACCTTACTCCGCGAGTAGGCAGCTTCTCCGGTCCTCTACTTCAGTCCGTTAAACTGCCCAACATAGAAGAGCAGCTCGAGCAGAAAAAGATAGTTTTCCAGACCAAGTCACTTTTTCTCAGAGGTCGCTGCAACCTGCAGTGTCTTTAAATTTTAAATAAAGCTCTTCCAGTATGCAGAGCATCTAGCCGTCTTAGCTCAGCCGGTAGAGCGCGTGGCTTTTAACCACGTGGTCGTGGGTTCGATTCCCACAGACGGCGGATCTGCTGTTTTTATTCTCCTTTACGTGGGTTCGATTTCCACATACAACTAGGGGTGGGATTCAGTCGGTAAACAATTTACCGTATACCGAAGTTGGTCAAACTGGTTACCGATTACCGATACCGGTTTGTAACCGGTTTACCGATTACCGAATTACCGGCAAACGGTAACAAACCGGTATTACCGAAATACCGTGAGAAGTGATTTCGGGCGATTTTTTCGGTCGGTTTACCGAATATTTTACCGAACCGAATCTCTGGAAGTGGGGTGATGTTGTAATATTTCGATTTTTTTGAGTTTTTTTCATCATTTTAGTAATTAATAATTTATTATTAACTCTTATTTACAATATTTTTGAGGCCTATACTTACATTCATGTATGTAATATTTTATATTAACTCTTATTTACAATATTTTTGAGGCGCAACACTAGGGAGTACGGAGGGGGGATTCGGTATCGATAATACCGATTTACCGTCGGTATTTACCGATACCGTTTTCGGTAAACCGACTCCCCCAACTTCCCGCTCGGCTACCGATACCGCCGGTAAACGGTTTACCGTTTACCGCCGGTTACCGGTTCGGTAAAACGGTAAACCGTTTACCAGATTACCGTTTACCACCCCTACATACAGCGGCTCTGCTTTTTTATTCTCCTTTACGTGGGTTCGATTTCCACATACAGCGGCTCTGCTTTTTTTTTTTATGGTTAAATCAAATCGCATTAAGAACCGACACCAATAGCAAAGTGCTATGGAGCCCTCAAAAACCAACAAGTCTGTACACAATTCCTCTCACAGTCACTACCAAAACTAATAACAACTCAATTTGCTAACTATCAACCCCAAGTCCCCTAGCCTCAAAACAATCTACTAAGCATTGGTTTAACAAACACCGACTCCAAATAATACGACGTGCATCAACAATCAGCTGGGAAGGACTTCTAGCCGCAACAGACCCATATAACCTCGCACATCTCTCCCGCCAAACAAGACTAATAAGCACACTCCAGCTCATCCTATTCAAAGAATGCGCTGGGGATCACTCGGCCATTGGACAACACACCACTCTAACACTGCATTCCAGCCTCCAAGCACAGGGGGTGCCGCCTCCTTCAACACTGCACAACTCAGATATTGAAAGTAAGAACACTCCATGAACAAGTGGTCCCTGCTCTCCATACCTCCTGGACACAGCAAACAGTGACCAGAGATTTGTTTACCCCAAGCTATCAGCTTATTCAGCAGCTTCAACCTGTCATTGATCACCAACCATAAAATAAAACCATGCCTGGGGATGACATGTTTATCCCAAACCACTTTATACCATCTAACCTTCGCTTCCTTCTGCCTCAATGAGTCCCATACTCTCGACACAGAATAACGGTGCATAGGCAATCCTCCCCACTGCAACTCAGAGCCTACTACAGAAATGAAAGGTTTGACCAGGTCCCGACACTTAAGCAACCGCTTCCAGACCCAGGTACCTGCTGCTGTTCCTTTAAGATCCCAAACAGACATCTGCTTCACCCTATATCGTGTAACCCAAGCAACCCATATAGAACCCTCTGCTGCTAGAATCGACCAAAGATGCCTACACACACAGGCTTTGTTCCACACTGAGAAGTTCTTGATACCTAAACCACCCTCCTTCTTCGGCCTAGCAATGAATTGCCAAGCAACTACTGCTCTTTTCCTCAATGAAACATCATTTATATCCCAGAGAAACTTACTACAAATGGACTCCACTTCTTTTATAATGTACTTGGGCAACAAGAAAATCCCCATCCAGTATTGCAGCACACTTGTAAGAACCGATGTAATCAGCTGCAGCCTACCTGCAAAACTAAGGAATTTTGCTCTCCAACTATTTATCCTCCCTGTGATTTTCTCAACCAATACCTTGCACTCAGCCTTTGTGAGCTTTCCAGTAATTAATGGTACCCCCAGGTACCTGACTGGCAATTGACTGTTTGGGAACTTTGAATAGGCAGAAATTCTCTGCTTCTCTTCTTCTGATATACCCCCACAAAATAACTGACATTTATCGGGATTACACTTCAAACCAGAAACAGTATAAAAGGCATCCAAAACTCGACACACACCAGCAACCCCCCTGATTGAGCCATTAGTAAACACAAGCAAGTCGTCCGCAAAACAGAGATGCGTGATGGTCAAAGGCTTACACCTAGGGTGGTAAGGGATTTGATTCTGCACAGCAGCTTTTTTCAACAGAGCATCTAAAATCTCCATAGCAACCGTAAATAGGTAAGGGGATAACGGATCCCCTTGCCTTAAACCCTTAGCCATATCAAAAGACCCGCAAATCCCCCCATTCAAACTCACACTTATTCTTGGGGACTGAATACAAGCTCGTAACCAACTAATAAATTGAGCAGGCAGCCCCATAACCTCAAGCACAGAAAAAAGAAAAGCCCAATTTACTGAATCAAAAGCTTTCATGATATCAATCTTGATCACACAGCGAGGTGTAACATTTTTCCTATGATAGTCTTTAACTAATTCTGCAGCTAAAAGGATATTGTCACTAATAGACCGCCCTTTCACAAATGCAGACTGTGAAGGAGAGATAAGCAAAGGAAGAACAGTAGCTAACCTGTTTGCAATCACCTTGGAGATACCTTTATACAAGGTATTACAGCAGGATATTGGACGAAAGTCCTTCATCTTCTCAGCATTAGCAACCTTGGCTACCAGAGTGAAAAGTGTAGCATTAACAGCTCGAGGCATAATCCCTGAACTGAAGAACTGAAGCGCAACATCCTCTACTAGAGAACCAACTAAGTCCCAGTGAAGTCTGAAGAACTCATAAGGGAACCCATCTGGTCCAGGGGACTTGTTCCTTCCCAATCTGAAAAATACTTCCTTTACCTCTTGCCTTGTTACAGGAACAACCATAGCAGCAGCAACTTCTGGAGCAAGGCATTTCAACTGCAAATGATCATAAAAACTTGTAGGCTGCATCTTCACATCCAGATTAACTGTACCAATCAACTCAGTGTAGAACTTTACAGCTACATCACCAATCCCCTTGATATCTGTAACTTCATTACCGTGTTCATCAAGCATCCGTGAGATCTGCTGTCTGTGGTTCTGCACTTTCACAGATTTGTGAAAGTATGTTGTATTGAGGTCACCTTCCTGCACACTTTGTATTCGTGCTTTCTGTCTGTAAAAACTTTCTTCAGCTTGCTTAAGATCAAAACATTCTTTAGCCAACAACTTTTCTTCTGCGACACGCAACTCAGTAGGATTGCTTAACACCTCTGCCTGCATCACCTCCAACTTGCCTTCAATGGCCCTTGCTCTCACAGAAATATCTGAATAAACCTCCCTGTTAAGCTGCCTCAACGCCTTCTTAACACTCTTTAACTTTCCATAGAAAACATAATATGGCCTACCCTTCACATCAGTCTTCCAAGCATCATTCACCAATTCATTATAACTAGGGTGACTTGCCCAAAACTTAAAATACTTAAAAGGTTTAGGCAAGCTACCAACCTGGGGAGCAGTGGTGAGCAGAAGCCCACAGTGATCAGATACCCCAGGGGGGGTAGTTTGAGCTACACTTGCTGGGAATCTACTCAGCCAAACTTCATTCACCAAAACCCTGTCAAGACGTTTAGCAATTGGATTTTCTGACTGTTTATTCCACCATGTGAACCAGCTGCCTGCCACTCTATGTTCCTCCAATCCCATCTCCTCAATCCATTTATGGAAATCCTCCATACTAGAGTTCAAGGACACCAGATTTGAGGTTTCAGCAGGCCCTCTGACAGCATTGAAATCACCCAGAACAACCAAAGGAACTAAACTTTCATTCTGAGACAGCAACTCCCTATAAAGAATCACTCTATCCCCTTCCTTGTTTGGACTATACACTATCATGAGGATAAATGGATATGCACCACCAACAAGCACTTTCATAAAATGTAACCCAACTTCCAGCTTAGTAACAGTAACACCATCCATTCAAAATAACCAAACTCGACCATTAGGAGACTTGGGGTAATTATTCAAATGCTTTAAATGGGCAAAACTTCTACTAACTATCTCCACACTATTTTCTACCTTTACTCTAGTCTCTATTATTGCTATAATGTCAAGCTTTAGTATACTTATCTTCTTAAGCATCGCAGAGTGCTTACCAGGAGCATTCAAGCCCCTGATATTCCAGCATAAGATCCTCATTTCTTCTTCTTGCCTCGCCCCCTACCTTTAGCAGGCTGTGGTGGCTCGACATTCATCCTCCAAACTGGCTTACTTAACGATGGAAAAGTCTTCTCATCCAATTGCACTTTCTTCTGGCTAGAGGATAGGTTCCACGGACTCTTGGCCATAGATGCAGGACTAGGAGCCCTAACCCTGTGTTTCCTTCCTGTAACAGCCTGAAACCCATCATCCTCAACCCCTGGACCAGAACTGCTACCTTCACCCACTTCCACTTCAAGTTCCCCACCTATCCCAGACTCTGCAACCTGAGTAACCAAAGCCTGAACACTCGTTTCAGCCTGAGAACCAAGCACTTCTACATCGATATCCTTCCCCTTCAAATCACCTGACATCACCTCCTGCACTTTCGGCTGCTTAACAACCCACACACGCTTCATTTTTCCCCCTGGATTCTCACAATCGTGCCCAAATACATCACACTTCTCACACTTCCTCGGCACATGACAAAACTCCACATCAACCAACATTTCAGGACGCCCATCCGGGGTAATGCTCAGCTTATTGATCAGATTGGTCTTAGTAGTGATCTCAACACATACCTTGGCAATACCAAATTTAGTCCCCTGCTTCGTAGGATAATCCATACACAGAGGCCGCCCCAACGAACTGGCAAGACGCCCTAACCCCTCCTTTGATGT